CCCACCGGGCCCACGCACACCAGCCGGCCGCACACGCTGCACCTGGAGCCGAGCACCAGGAACCTGTCCCTGTCGGGGCTGAAGGGGTCCTTCGCGACATAGCTCTGCTCCAGGAGGCTGCGACAGGGAGTGAGGCCCGGTCGGTGCAGGCGCCCACAGCCCGCGGCGGGGCAGCCCGGTGTCCCGGCCGCGGAGGAGGGTCAGCGGGCCAGCCACAGAGGCCGCGGCCCTGAAGGCAGGCCGCGGTCTGCTCAGTGACGGCGCAGGGGGCGCCCTTCTCGGCAGCTCTCCAGCCCCCCCCACGCCCCGGCAGGGCGACCCCTCTGTGCCCACACAGGCCCGAGGCACGGCCCAGAGGGAGCTGCTCGGCCGGCGCAAGCTGCCCTGGCCATGGCGGGCCTGGGGCTGCACCCAGCTGAGCCAGCAGGAAGGGCCTGGGGCTCCCAGGGGCCGCCGGGCCGCCCCGGTGTCAGCGCCAGAGCCCAGGCAGGATGGGCGCAACACCCACCAGGCGCCCAGGGGCTCCCCGGCCCGGCCACGGCGCATACTCACAGCACAGACTGGGTGTCGGGGGGCCTCTGCCCCACGTAGCTGTAGGGGGCCGTCAGGGCACAGAGCTGGCACTCGAACACGCCCAGGGGCGGGCGCCCGGCGTCCCAGGCCATCTGTGGGGTCCAGACACAGGACACGTCGCCTCCCGCAGCTTCCCACCCCCAGGCCGGGCCCGCGGCAAGCACTGGCCGCTCAAGGCTGCCCGAGTGGCGCCGCACTTGCCGCCCTGCCGACGGCGGGGCGCGCTGGCCAGGCCCGGCACTGGGGAAGCGGCCCCGCCACGCTGCCCCTGCTGCCGACCGCACACCCACTACTTCCTGGCAGGCCTGCGGTGCTCAGGGACCCCGTCTGGGGCGACGCCGTGTGCCAGGCCGCCCCGGGTCTGCGCCTGGGAGTCGGGCGCCTAACAGTCCGGCCCAGTGAACCGCCCGGGCCCTGTGCGGTGCTTCCCGTCTTCCCCCGCTGCCCCCGCCGCGAGCCTCCGTGTGGGGGGAGCAGGCTGCCTGCAGGCCAGCAGGGACCTGGGTCTACCTTTTGCGTGGGCGGCGACCACCCAGCAGCCCGGGCCGCCGTCGCAGGGGCATCTTCCGGGCTGCCCGCTGGCTTCCCCTGCCTCTGCCCCGTGCCAGGCCCTCGGCCTCGGCCTCAGGTGGCTCCTCGCCCCGGGGGGGGGGGCTGCTGCTGCTGCTGCTGCTCCCGGTGGCCCTGGGCCCCAGGCCCTGGCCGGCACCAGGCTTACCTGGCCCTGTGTCCACTCCCAAGCACCCTGCCCCTTC